TAAAAAATGTTTAAAAATTATTTAGGGGGCGTTTAAATGGTGTCTGCTAGACTGGCTTGAAGCTGATAAGAGTGGGAGAGAGGTTAGGTGTGATCACGTGATCAGCCTTTCTTGTACGAGCTTCAAGCCAGTGCCGGTCTGCAGGCAGACTCCATTTAAAGGCACCCTTGCTCTGGTTGGTACAAATATATAAGTCAGTCAGACTTTGAAAGTTCATAGGATGAAATAATTATTTTTTACAGGTAACAAAGCGCATATTAGAAATTGTAGATATGGACGATAGCGACTCGAATTCGTTTGCCGGAGATTCAGATATGGAGGCAAGACAGAACAATGGTGGCACTCAGGATAGAAAATGGCCGCGACCGGCAAAGCCACTGACACCGACTCTGATGGACGATGAGAAATATGAAACTGATATGAAGCACGACTGGTCGAAGGGCAGACAAGAAGAAATGGAGAGCAACGAGTGGAAGTGGGAGAGAAACATTTTCAGTGAGTTTGGAGTTTTCATTTTTTTACTTTCATTAGGTATTTGGTTATGGCTTCCAAAAACGAGGAATAAATTGTCAAGTTAAAAGCGAATCAAAAATAAGTAATACGTATCTCAAGTTTAATGATTGCGCTTGGGTGGATATGAACAATAAAGTGCTAGTTCAATTAAAGGTTGTAATTGGTAAAAGTACGACACGATTCCTTGATATTGATTAGCTAAAATCTAATGATGATTATAATCTGAAAAATGGTAAATATTCGATTTGTCAGTAAAATGTGAAGATTTTCTTCTTCATCGTCAAAACTGTAATTTTTTTATTTCGCTTAGCTTAATTGTCACACCTTACGCCTCCCAAGTGACGATTAAATACTATGAGATCTGCCTGTATAAAATTTGGGTGAGTTCGATAATTACCGATCGTCACTTATTTCAAAATTATGAAACAACTTGTACTGATAATTGAATGAGCACACTATTGTTTCCACAACCTATCAAATTTTCTGAACATTTTTGGAACGAACGGTAATTTTCGAACGCGCCCATATTTTTTATATTATTACTTCATATTCGGCTCCTATTATAAGATTTATCTTTAAAAAGAGATTTGGTATGGCCGTGAAAACCATCAGAACTAAGTACTAAACTTATGAAAAGTTGCGTGCAATTGTTTGAACGTAAGATAGCGAACAAACTTTTGCCCTCGCATGTACACTTGCACATAACTTTTCACGAGTTGTCAAAAACTTATAAGATGACCCTCGTGATGATCCATTTACGTTTAAGGAGTGACAACATAAATCCTCCGAATTTTTAACCAATTGTAAACATGAAGAGATTAACGCGAATGGTCGGGTTTTCTTGTGATCAAAAAAATCATGCAGCATGCATGGAAACTCGAAACAAAGAAAAATTGTTTTACTGCATCGATCGCGGAAAATCTACAATTTGATTATTTATTTAGCACCGAAGCTTAGAGAACAAGGAAATATCCTAAAAATCCTCCAATACTGACTTTGAAATTAATATTATTTCAACTTCTCTCTCAAGGTTCGGAAGATGAACAAGACAGCGTACCCGTGAAAACGATCAAGGACAACGATCGCTCAATTCTACCTGACTCAAGCGATCCAAACTATATGTTGCACTTGGAAAAGCTCCACCGAAAAATCAATACGATGGAGGACGTTCAGGCACTGTTCAAAATCGCGCAGTTGATAGTTGACACAGGAAAGTACAACTTGGCAGAAAATATCATTGACTTTGATCTGTGCGCACTGGACAGGTGCACGATAGAGCTGATCCACGAAATAATCGTTCCCCTTGGTTATGACTGATGTATACTATATAGGCTAGCAAAAGCTATACATGTAAATAATATATAAGTATCGTTATTTGTAACGACGCATGAGTTTTCTTTTATTCATATTTTATACTTTCGTTTTAATTCAATATAATGTGTTAAGTACGTGTGAAAATGTATTTTTTATTGATTTTATATTTATAAATAAAAATATTGACGTTTCTGTTCACAAAAGTATAAACCTTCCTTGTATTTTCTGTTTGGAAAAAAATAAAAATTTATTTTCAATTTACCATTTTGCTGAATTTTTACCCAAAAAGTACCCCGTTCAAAAATTTAAATTTCTATTATCTTTACAAGTGTAGTGATGCACTTATACTTACTTTTTTTCATGAAGCTATATTCACGAATTGCTTATATCGTTAAATAAAGTGTCGAGGTGTAAAATGTGATAAACAAAATGAGTTTTGAGAAATT